CACGTTACACCTTCCACTTGCCTTCTATCCAAAGGGTCTCCTTTACCACTCTTAGCTGCAAAGATTCTAGGCAGTATTCAGTTCGCTGGTTTTCTAGGAGGCTACATACCACCTCTTAAGTAGTTGCTGCTTCTCCTCCTTACCCATACTACTCCCCCAAAGTCCTTTTGCCAAAAGCTTCACCGATCTCTAAAAATGTCTGAAGTCCCTGTAGAATTATGGGTGGGGAGTTGGTGGGTTGTAAACTCATGTAAGTACTGGAGGTTTGAATAAGTTGCTAAGAAACAAGACAACAAGGAGGAAGAAAACACAGAGAAGGTTACACCTGGAAGAGAAGAGATGTCAGAGGCCAAGTGCCTTGAATATAAGGATTCCTTCCATTTGGGAGCAGCCATGCTGCAGACACTTGGTACAAAGTGAGCACAACCCTACTACATTCCTAAGCCCAGTTTTGCAATGCAGTCATTTCATCACTTTCCTCAGGTAAGTGTCTTAGGGCAAAGGGTGTTTCTCCAAGTGCACAAAGTCCCTTGCTCTGAGCATGTACACACATGTGCACTGTATGTATGCATGCGGACCCCATGGATTGCACATACTGGCTGCAGAAATGAGCTGGCTCAAATGAAGACCCCTTCCCGCTGCCCTCCACATGTCCACACCACATCTGTGAAGGCTTAGGGACTAGAAACACGGAAGGCATAAAACCAAGGACTGCGAATCATATTCTGATTAACCTGTGGCATCCAATTTACCCAAACCCCTAGCAGTTGCTCATTCAGGCCTTTAAGAGTGAAGGTGCCAACGCTGGCACCCTCTGGTACACAAGGTACCCGCTGGCACCCTCTGGTACCAAGGTACCCTCTGGTATCATATTTCATTGTATTTTCTTTAAAAATTAAGCTGATCTCAGCAAGCCTGTTATCAGTGCCAATGGCATTTAAATATGAGGCTGAGAGACCATATACTATATCTCAGTTGCTTCCCCCAAAGTATCTCTAGATTCATTTCACCCTAGGGCCAGCGGGACATCATAAAACTAACGGGGGTTTTGAGTTCCTGAAAAGCTTTAGGGGCTGAGTAGTGGTAATTACACTGGTAATGTATTTTTAATAAACAGGCACTACTGAGATTTAGTGGGAGGAGCAACTTACCCATTTCAGTGATTTATAAATGGTTACTCCCAAATTATTTCTCATTAAGCCCAATTACCTCTCACCATGTGTGTTATCACCAAGACCCCGATTGGAGGATCATAAATCAGGCTGGTTGCTTCAAGACAAGCCCCTAGGAGCAGCATCAGTATTGCTATTATAAACCATCAATGAAAACTACCACAAAGCTGGGGCGGGGGCAGCAGATCCAAGTGGGACATAATTTGATACCATCTGGCAGACAGTCCCACCTCTACAGAGCTTCCCATGTGGACACTGGGATGTGGATTATTCCGTATCTGACCAAATCACTTCCTCCTCTTCCTCCCCAGAACACGAACAGTTGTTTGATAGGGGTCATAATTCTCGACAAAAGATGTGAATCGCACGACCTTCTAAAATGACCTTTGACCGTGCCCCTGAACCACAGGTCTTCCATTGTCAGCAAATTTGGGAGGACCCACGGTAACAGAAATTGAGGCTGCCTGGGGGGCTGGGAAATCAGGTGGCAGGCAGTTCAAGGTTTGATTTGTTTTTAAGCCACATATGCTGTAAAGTTTGAATTCTGTACCAAATTCAGTCACTCCCTATTCAAGAAAATCTGTTTTAAATAGACAGGCTTATTAATATTTAATTGCCAAAGTAAATGAAGCTGTGCTTATTTATTTCCATGTTTACTCGGCTACCTGAGGGCTTTCATTTCAGTTAACACTCACCCTGGAATCATTCTTGAAAGTTACAGGCTGTGGTTGTTTCTCCAACCGCACTCAGAAAAATAAACTAAAACAATACACCTGAACTCTGGTTTCTCTTGGGAAGTAAAGCTTATATTTCACAGCAGGCCTTTTTGGGGCAGTAGGGTGGAGACTTGTTTATGAGTGATACATGCATTTGGCCTAACTTCAAAGGAACCACACACTCAGTGTAGACCAAGCGGTCCCCCCATTCTAGAAAGTCTATTTCATGGTTGGTGACCTGTGGGCCTGAAACCACAGAAGAGCACCAGCAAATCAATCATCTCTCTGCCCTCACATGCCACTTCCGCTCCTTCCCCATCCAGGACTCTCTGCCAAGTGTCAAAAGGGGACAGACACACCTTCCAGGTCACTTTCCGCAGCCAGCCTGGGGAGCAAGGCTCCCTCCCTGTTTCCACCCATCCTCTGACCCTACTCTCCAAAATGAACCTCAGCCAGGCTGGCAGCTTTTCCACATCACTAATAAGATTCCTTTTATGGTCTTGTGAAAAGCGAGGGGCTCGGGACTGAGCCTGGGAGGGTGGAACCACCTGCAGGCCCCTTCCTGAAACTCCAAACACACGTTGAAGGGCAGTCAGTATTCACAGTCAATGTGGGCCCAGCCGGATTTAAAATGTGGCTAACCTCTTTAGCTTAAAGTTCTCCCTAATAGGGGATTAACAAGATAAACGTGCTTTACAAAAATGAAATCCCGTAACAGAAGCAGCCCTTCTTTCTGAGAGCGCCACAGAGCACAGGTTTTTCTAAACCCCTCTTAATGGCATGTTTTTGATAACTGTCTTATCTCCTCCGAGGCAGAGAGGGCACTTTAAAAAGCCAGGTCCTGCAAACGTGAGAGCCACCCCCAGCTTCACATATACCAAAGCAGACATTCTAATTCTGCCCTGTCCTCCCCACCCCCAGCTGGGAAGCACAGCCCCAGCCCACGGATAGGAGGCAGCAGAGTGCACCCCATCAGAGCACGTGGTGGAGAGTATTCCCCTAGGCACAGAGCTCCCCCTCTCACCACCCACCCTCCCAGCACAGGCTGGGCCAAGCCACAATCCTGGCAATGAGTCACGCCTCCTGGACAGCAGGAAAGGGGCAGAGGGCACCAACATTTTCCCCTTTCCTCCTCTTCTGCAATCGCATTTATCTTCCTTCCACCCATTTCGGGATGTTGCAAGGGCCTCGCTGTGGGGGTCTGCCAGCGGCGCCCGGAGCCTCCAAAGGCTCTCAGACGGGGGTCCATGGGCTTGCACCCGCGGTAACTGCCTCTAGTGCCCCGCCACTTCCAGGCTCTGGCACGCCCCTGAAGACTTGCGGGGACCATGCGCTCTCCGGACAAGGGCATTCCCCCGCCCTTCCCGGGGAAGTTTGCAAACACAGCTGTTCCAGGGCCCGGGAACCACTGGAAGCGACGCCACAAGGCTACACCGCACGGGGGCGAGGGCAGGAAGGGACCGGCAGGGGGCGGAGGCAGCTCGGGCGAAGGCCCGGAGACCCTCCCCCCTCCGGCGGCCGCCCCCGAGCCCTCGCACCCAGCCCGGAGAGCGCCCCCGCACGCACCAAAATCTCCTGGGGAGCAGCGGGAAACGGGTTCCCTCCACACCCTCCAGGAAGGACACACCCGCCCTCCCGGCCGTCCACGGGAAAGGGGAGGGTGCCAATTTGGACGTCGTTCGAAGGCCAAAACGGAGCCGAGTCGCCTTCCACCGCGTTTAATTGGTTAAGCAAGGATCATCGATAATGACCTCCTGGTTTGGGACGGGGGCGGGGGGGTTTACTCTGGGGCCTTCAAGTTGCAAGTTAAACCCGCTTTCCTGGGAGCTTTGCTCCCAAATCTCTGGGGTACCCATTTTCCTGTGCTCTTAGCAAAAAGCAGCGGGGATGGGCCTGCCGAGTCTTGCTCCCTAACCCCCCAACCCCCAAAAATCTTCCCCTATGAGCGAGCGCCGCGTGAAGCCAAGACTCTCATATCCCTCTCGCAGGAGAAAGCAGGGCTCGGCAGACGCGGGTGCGAAGCTCGGCGCGGCCTCCCAGCCCGCGCCCGTCACTCACCGGCCAGGCGAAACTGAAAGGCAGAACGATACGGTTACGTTCATTGCCGCGGCTGGTCTTGAGGTTGAAGGTGTTGCCCCCGATGACAGGAGTGGACCCCGAGCCGAAGCTGCAGGGCCCCTCGGCCGTGACGCGGGACTGGTACTCCTTGAGGCACACTTTGAAGTACGTGTCACACTCGTCGCGGGCGCACTTGCGGTCCCCCGGGCTCCGGGCACCGCCACAGCAGTTCCCGTTCTGCAGCTCCCCGTTCACGTTCTGCATGGACAGGATCTCCAACTCGAACTGGCCGGAGGCCCCGCACACCTGCCGGCGAGGAAGGGAGGTCAGCACGGGGAAAAGTTGTTTTCTTCGAGGATGGAAGTGGCGGCTCCCTCCCTCCCGCCCCGATGAGCCCTCGGCGCCAAGTGAAAATAATTTTGCAAAACTGAGCGCCAAGACTCAACGTGATTCCCGGGCAAAAAATAAAAAAAAATAAAAAAATGCACGAGTGCGGGAGAAATCCGACGACTGCCCTGGAGTAGCAAGGGAGGAGCGAACATGCCCCCCTGCCCAGCCTGGAGGATACACTTAGAAGGACGGGGGGCTCCCCCAGCCCAGGTGCAGCCTCTCGGGCGCAGGGGCCCGGCTGGGGAGCTGGGTGACCGAGGACTCCTGGTCCCGCTCGCGGCGCTCAACCGCAGGCGTCCTGGGCGTCGCGAGGGAAAGGAGAGGGCGGCCTGTACGAGTGAGGCCCCGCGGGCTCCTACCTTGGCTCGCAGGGCGCAGAGCAGGGCGAGCAGGAGGCTCAGGGGGCGCCCGGGCCGGCCGCGAGTCCGTGGGGACCGCATCGCTGCGCCGCGCGCCGCGGGCACTCGGGACGCCGCCGCCGCCGCCGCCGCTGTTCGCGCTGGTGCTCCTGCCGGTGCTGCCGCCGGTGCTGCCGTCGCCGCTGCCCCTGCGGCCGCCGCGCCCCGGCTCTAATATACTCCGCCGATTGGAGCATGCACGACTGGAAAACAACACCACTTTTCAAAAGCCCTTTCAAGAGCGGCCGGTTCCAGAAGGCAAAGAGCCCGGCCTCCTTTTATTATTCTGATCGCTTCTTTGAGGCGCTCCCCCTCCTCTTCCACCTCCCGGCTTTCTTTCCTTCTCTCGCGCTCCCCTCTTTTATTATTATGATTATGTGCAGCCTTTTATTCCCTTTCAGATCAGCTGCACAGAAAGAGGGAGGGAGGGGAGGAAAAAAAAAACAACCCAAGCCCAGCTCGCGGGCCGGCCGCAGGTAACACAATGACGCGTGCCCTCTCGGCTCTCGGAGAGGGACTCGGAGAGCCCGTCTGGGAGCCGCAGCCCTGGCTGGCCACCTTTACCCAGCGCGCCCGGCAGGCGCATGCGCTCTATTAATATTCATGAGGGGCGTGTCCGTCGGAGTCACGCCCCTTCCCCTTCGGGTTGCTGGGTAGGGGGAGTACGGGGAGGAACTTGCCAGGGGGATGGGGGTCCAGGGATACGCTGGACGGCGTGGACGTTGGGGAACCCAGCACAGACCCCCCCGCCCCCGGGGAGCCCTGGGTCTGGCGAGGATGGGGGGAGGGCGCAGGAAAGAACTTGGAAGTGTCAGTTGCTCGGGGACGCCCGGGGCCCTTGGCGCGGACCGCCCCCTCGGGCGCCTTGGGCCGGGCGCCTCGGCCCGCTCGCCGGGACCCCAGGTGTAGGCGCCGCGGCGCTGCCCGAGCGGTCGGAGCGGGGCGGCTTCCGCCTTCCAAGCCGCCTGCGTCAGCTGCGGCTTTCGCCCCCGGAGGAGGGCCTGCCCGCCGGGAGCCGGCCCGCTTCCCGCGAGGGAGCGAGCCGTCCAGAGCGCGCTGCTGGCGGCGGTAGCGGCAGAGGCGGCGGCGGGGCTGGCGCGCTGGCCGCCGTCTGCTCGCCCAGCGGAGGCGACCGGGGCAGGCGCTGCTGGGAACTTTGAAAAACTTTCCCGGAGCCAGGCTCGCCGCAGTTTCGAGGGAAAGCCTCGGCCGCGCCCCACCCCCTCCCAAATCCGAGTCTGCGGAGCCTCGGAGGGCTCTCAGTTTCCTTCCCAAACCGCGCCTGGGCTGCGGCGAGGGGAAACTGGAGGGAGAGGGCCGCGGGCGCGCTGGGGCCCTGCTCGGGCTTTGGGAAGGGCAGGCAGAGGTGCTGGTGGGCTCGGGCTCACCCTTTCCCCAGCCCCGCTGCCCTGGCCGCAGTGCCGGGATTGCACCTGTAGGCGGCCTCCGAGCTGCTTTCTGGGTGGCAAGAGATGAGCCTGGAAAGGACCATCTATGTTTCACCGCCGGCGCCTGGCAGCACCACTTGGCTTTTCTGGGGTGGCAGTGGACACTCAGGCTATTTTCCACCCCGAGGCGAGCCTCCGGTCATTGTCAAGGTCAAAGGAAACCTGCGGGCTGGCGGAAGCCTCTCTCACCCCTCTTCCAGAGGACCCGCTGCTGTGTTTGAGGGGACCTCTTTAAGGAAGAGAATGGTTTCCACTGAAGGATGGACAAAGTTTTGGCCCTTGTATTACAGAAAAGGCGTGACTATTTGGGGACCGGATCCTGGCTCCAGCCCTCCGGAGCTCTGTGGCGTAATGGGCTGCAGTGGGTCAAGGGAAAATAGTTTCCAGTATGCTGAGTTATGAGAGTATAAAAGGGTGGGTAATTTGTGGTTATTATTTAATGGGTGTCTCAATATGGACAGTAATATTCACACAGGGGAATAAAATATGGTAACTGACCTTTTTACACTGATTCAAAGCCAGCAAGGATGGTTTAGAATATTAGCATTTCAGCAGCTCAAGAACACCGAAGAAAGGCACCGTCTTAATGGTAATGTATCCCATCTAATGCTCATTGGTGAGAGAATTAATCCATACTTTCAAAGAGGTATCTGTGAGAGCAGAACAAGCTTGTCGTTGGCATAGGCAGTGGCAAACTGGGCATTTTGTCTTCATGTTCCCCAGGCCTCGTTTTCCCCATTTATCCTAAATGCAAGGCCTCCAGTTGCCAACTGTGTTCCTATATAGACTTTTCTTTTATTTTTTTAAAAAATATTTTTATTGATTTCAGAGAGGAAGGGAGAGGAAGAGAGAGAAGCATCAATGATGACAGGGAATCATTGATTGGCTGCCTCCTGCACACCCCCTACTGGGGATCCAGCCCACAACCTCCGCATGTGCCCTTGACTGGAATCGAACCTGGGACCCTTCAGTCTGCAGGCCAACACTCTGCGCACTGAGCCAAACTGGCTAGGGCTATACAGACTTTTCTTACCAGTTTCCATAAACTAATCTCCCCCACCTCCTATCTGCCCCCTCCTCACCTCTACTCCCCAAAAGCAAAATGCTGGTGCTGGAAAAAGCACAATTTATGAAGGCTGATGAGGTACTAAAATACACATCTCTTGTAGTTCCCATTACCCAAACCCGTTCAAATTCTATGCCCTGTACCCCTGTCCTCCCCCCCCCCCCCCCAACACAGGTCTCAAAAAGAAGTTATGGAGCGAGGCCTTTCCTTGAGCAGTTTAGATCCAGCCACCTGGCTTAACCCAAGAAGGCTACCTGAGATGCAGGTGCCTCCTGTTAGTAATCTGGGCTGTATGTAAACGGGGGGCGGGGTGGGGGTCGGCTCCAAGCCACAGGTGAGGTTAGCCCCCTTGACTAACAGGAGAGAGAACATTGATTTTCCTGGGGTTGAAACTACCCGATCCACCCTAATAGAAATATCAAATCACACCAATAAAATTATCCTGCTAAATAGTACATTGTCCCTCACCCTCTCTGAGCTTGGGAACCCACTTGTAGAGAAGACAGTTGTGGGTTTCAGTGGATTCTTTTGAAAATTTTCAGTTGGGACTCTTCCAACTCATTGGTACTCCCCCAAAAAGCCAGTCACGTGTACTGCAACAAGTGGAAGCTCATCCTATACTTCCCCACAGCAGTTCTCAGCCCCTCCCTGCTGAGTGGGGAACCACTGTGGAAAGAACTCAAACATGTAGATTTGGCCAGGTCACATCCTACCTTTGGCTGTAGCCTATCGTAAGTGAAGATTCCAGAAGACTGTTCCTGTGAAAAATGCCGCATTTAACCATCACACCTGTACCTGTGAGAAGAGGAGAGGCTATAGTCTCTTACTATCTGCTCTGTCTCAGGTGCTCCAACCACCATCCATGGGCAATTTAATTTTAAAAAGATGATGCCTTGTTTTTCTTTTTCCACAAAACTTACCCTTCCTTTATTGAATCACCAACAAACCGCAGTGCTAAACCAACTAACAGCTTGAGAGACGTTCAAGCTGTTATAATTGTATTTAGATTATACAATTAGAAAGGATGCTGATACTTTTAGTCAACTTAAAGCTCGGGTTAACACTGATAAAAGTAAGCAAATCATTATTTATTGAGAACTACGTTATATTAAGCAACACGAATGATCTCAAAAATATGTGAGTGACAGAAGCTAAATGCAAAGGACTGCATACTACATAAATCCATTTGTTTTGAGTTCTAGAACAGGCAAAACTAATCTAGGTAATTAAAAATTGAAGCAGTGATTGCTTGCGGAGATAGGAGGGTGGAGACAGCTGGGATGGGCTTGAGGCCTCTTGGGGAGGGGTAATCTGTATCTTGATAAGGGTTTGGGTTACACAGGTGTATGCATGCAAAATTCATTAAAAAGTAGGCTTAAGATTGGAGTATTTAATTTTATGTTCGAAAGAAAAACAGTTGTACTATTTGAGTTAATTATATAAGTGCTGAAGTATTTCGAGGGAAGTGAAAAGATATTTGCAACTTGGAAATGCACAAGAATTAGAGGGATCGATGGATGGATGGGTAGATAAATGCTAAAGCAAAATAAGTGCTAATGATTGGCTCTAGGGCAGTGGTTCTCAACCTTGGCTGCACATTAGAATCACCTGGGAATCTTTTTAAAATCCTGATTTCTGGGCCTCATCCTCCGGAAATTCTGTTTCTTTGTTATGGGACGAGGCCACAACATTAGTAACAAAGAAACAGAATTTCTGGAGGATGAGGCCCAGAAATCAGGATTTTAAAAAGATTCCCAGGTGATTTTAATGTGCAGCCAAGGCTGAGAACCACTGCTCTAGGTGGTGGGCATGCTGGTGTTCACATAAAAGTCTTTCAATTTTTTCTACGTTTGAAATTTTTCACTGTAAAATGCTGAGGAAAATAGTTATTGATGTACCAGGTACTGTGTAGGATGCAAGGAACATGGTGGACGACAACACAACATATTGGACTTAAGCCAGCCGTGGGCAAACTACGGCCCACGGGCCGGATCCGGCCCGTTTGAAATGAATAAAACTAAAAAAAAAAAAAAAAAAAAAAAAAAAAAAGACCGTACCCTTTTATGTAATGATGTTTACTTTGAATTTATATTAGTTCACACAAACACTCCATCCATGCTTTTGTTCCGGCCCTCCGGTCCAGTTTAAGAACCCATTGTGGCCCTCGAGTCCCTGACTTAAGCCATGGCCGGTGTGGGTCAGTTGGTTGGGCATCATCTTACGCACTGAAAGTTTGCCTGTTAGATTCCTGTAAGGGCACATGCCCGAGTTTCGGGCTCAATCCCAGATAGGGGGTGTACAGGAGGCAACCGATTAATGTTTCACTCTCACATCAATGTTTATCTCTCCGTCTCTCTCTAAAAATCAATAAAAATATTTTAAAAATAGTGGACTTGAGCATTACAGAGTGGAGGGCATGCTTGTCTCAGATGAAGACAGTGCAGATTATAGTAATGAACAAGCGGAACATGGTTCCTTTCCCTTATTCCTTTATTCCCAATTCCTTTCTTCTTTCCATTAAATAAGAGAGGAAGGTCCAAAGGGACACTTAAAATGTCCTTTAGTATCTTCCTTTTTCTTTGTTTGAATATTACAGAGAAGTTAAGGAAGCTCATGAGCCTTATCCCACAGAAAAGCAGATGTGATATATTTCTGCTCCTTTCCAGTAGAAGCAAAGGATGCTGATGGGTCCTACGAGCTCTTCTCTGTTCCACCAGGTTAGCATGGCAGAAAACGCCAGCCCCAGGAACTCTGTCCAGCCAGCTCCCCATCCAAGCATACCCACCTCTGTTGATTATTCTCCTTCTACATGGTAAGTTCTCAGGAAGAAGAAAAAAAAGAAAACACCAACCTATGGGCAACAAATTAGACATGAGAAAGAATCAGGATTAAGTTATAGTTCCCACAGCAACCATAACCAGGCCACAAGTTTATACACTCAAGCATAAATTGAATAGATCCAACCATTTTCACCCCCACCCCCGCCCCCAAAGCTTCATTTTACATACGCAAGAGATTTGAATTAACTTTCTTTGGAAACCAGAACTATGACTTTCTTGCATTATCAACAGTAATTTTGTACAAGCTTCGTTTTAAACTTGTTTTGGTTTTGCTTTGAGCTCAGGCATTTATCATTTTGCCTGTCCTGCCCCAACCCTGTCTCACAGTGATTACATGGAAACCTATCAGGACCAGGAGAGTTATGTGCCCACGTTGCCTTTAGCAAGCCAATCACAGAAAGTTACAAAAACAACAAACACAACAAAAAAGATGCATCATCCAGGAACTGTGGGATTTATTTCCTCATTTCACTCTTTGAACTAAAATCTAAGATTCTTTTATAGTTTCATTGGAGCTGGGAAGAAAAAGTTTCACTTATAAAATATATTCTTTCCTTATAGTTAAGCGTCAACTTTGAAATTCAAAAACCCTGGGTGTAAATAGCTGTTAATTAGGATTCTCAACACAACTGTAAATCATTCACTCACCCCCCCTCTTGGCAATAACATAGAGAGTTGTCTGTTCTGTGAATGACACCTAAATGACTCGACTCCAGATATTCCAGGATAGCATTTTTTTTTTAAAGCCAATCCATCCGTTTGTATAGTTGTTTGATCTAAATGCAACTAACAATTTTCTATAAGTGTGAAGTGTGACTGAGCTCTCCCAAATCTTTCCGTCCCCTAACCGGCTCTGGAAATGACCCTCCCAGAAGCAGGTAGCATTGGGAGCCAGTGGCCCTGGAATGTGCTACCCCGGCGTGCAGGTGATTTCAAACAGAAATCAACTAAAGCCCAACAAACTCAGCAAGAGATTTTTTTGTCCCTTTTCTTAAAGAGATTCAGAATTTTAAAAACCTGCTTCAGGAAGGGAAGCTTGGCATAATCACCTTAAGCATTTTCACCCTAGAATTAGGAGGAATCCAAGCATGTTTACTGGATTACCCACTGTGTTTCATTGTTTCTGAGTCGCCTAGCAAAAATTTACCTGCCATGGAGTTCTGCTTTTCCTCAACTACCTGTAAATTGGTTATTTTCACTTCTGAAATCTAAGACCCTGTTCCCCCCTCACCACCTTTTTCTCTTTGTCCAAAATGTCATATAGTCCCAATGTGGGCTCACTGTCTTTGGAATGTTCATGTTATGTAAATTTCCCAAGCGCATGTATTAATGTTTTTATTTTCTCCTGTTATCTGTCTCTGTTAATTTGATTAGCCCAGCCAGAAGAACTTAGAAAGTGGAAGGAACAGTATTACTTTGTTATCCCCCACCAAAACTATCACAATGCAATTTATTCCATGAACACCTTTTCACCTCATTTGCACTCAGCTTTCCAAACATGCGCAAACCAAAATCTGCCTCCAGATCTTAAAAAAAAAATTAAAAATACATCAAAGTAGTTGTTGGAGCACGTGGAAAGGAGACCTAAATATATTCAGTTATCTGAGAAAGTTTCAAAATAAACATAAATGTGAGAGTCAAAGGAAGGTGATTACACCTGCCAATGGCACAAAAGCCACAGGGCTTCAGATCCCAGGATTTCATGTCTGGGTTAATGGTTCTCAATAAATTAGAAGACTGTGTCTGTGTTTGACACTTTTGTTCTCAAGCCAATGGTTTCCTTACTGATGGCTTGCTCTAAATTAGAAGTTATTAAGAACATAAAAAGTAGATGATTGCAGTGCTTAACTTTTCATTTGGGAGGTAAATAGTTGTTTTTATTATTGTTTTTATGCCAAGAGCACTCAAGGATGGCTAAAGAAACATTAGCTTGAGCACAGAAATACTGGTACAAGTGCTACCTATAAATTTCTAGATACTTAAAGATTAGTCATAACTTAGGTTTTCTGATACGCAGATTTTCATTAATATTATTCAGATACGAGTTCCAAAAGAGAAAAGTTTCAGATATGATATCCAAAAGAGAAAAGTTTATTTCCAAAAGAGAAAAGTTTCTTTTCTCTTTTGGAAATAAAACTAATGCATAGAAAACATAAGATGACTATTAAGGAGAAAGTTTAATTTCTAAAAGTTGGCTATTGCATCCATGGAAGTTAACATTTTTTTCAAAGGCAGGTAAAAACAACAGAAGTAAATTACACTATTTTAGAATAGTTTGTTAGTAATTTATGCGAAGAGGAGGTGGGGTTTTTAATATAACACACGTGTAATATGCCTTGAAAGTGCAATGCAGCTACTAAGAAGAGTAGTGCCACAGTCTGACGCTGCAGGGTCAGGGTCTGAGGCTGCATTACTGGAAATGTAGGGGGTGAGCAATTAAGGAAAAATATAGCCCAGCACATTCTGCACTAGCCTTCACATAACTGAAGGATTTGATCAGCTCTGGGCATGATTTTTTTTAAATTGTGGTAAAATACATATAACATAAAATTTGCCACCGATCATTTTAAAGTGTACAACTCAAAGTGTACAGCCCAGCCGGCGTGGCTCAGTAGTTGATCATTGATCTATGAACTGGGAGGTCACAGTTCGATTCCCCATTTCAGCATATGCCTGGGTTATGGGCTCAACCCCCAGTAGGGGCATGCAGGAGGCAGCCAATCAGTGATTCTCATCATTGCTGTTTCTCTCTCTTTTCCTCTCCATTCCTTTCTAAAATCAATAAAAATATACATATATTTTAAAATGCACATTCATGTTGTTATGAAACCACTCTCCAGAACTTTTCCACTTTCTAAACAGAAACTCTGTACCCATTAACTCCCTGTTCCTCCTCTCCCCCAGTTTTAGACAAACGTGATGTTGATGCCACTGATTGAGGATT